GGTATTCACGCGACAGTTGGAAGCAGCTGTGGTCATCGATCTGTCCATAAAAGACGGCCTTTCGGTTCGACAGATCGTATGGGACGAGTTACTGAAATTTCGCGAAACGATTGGCATAAACTTTCAGGTTCGCAGAGTTATGATACACTGTAATACAGCGTTATGATTCCTGAAATAAATTTCGCAACAAAACATTTCATTGAGCGATGGGCTCGAATAGGTACCTCCTTGTAGAAACGCTCAGAGACAAGTATACACGTTAGTTTATGACTTGAAATAAATCGTTATATGGACGACCCCTGACTTACGTTCCGCAAAGCGTAAACTTTTACGTAACAATTTTATGTAAATCGGATTTAACCTGTCGCCAGCTATGAACCATGCTATTACTTACGTAGTTACAGTTCCTTTTTACAGTAATACATTAAAATGTTTTAACCGCTATTTCTGTTTCTGTTATTTTCATTAATAGGATGTGTGCACAAATTAGATTTCAATTTCATGGTCATAAGTCGTGGGCTATAACTGTGAATCTTCGATCTCGGATACAAGCGGTTGAAATGGACTTTCTGAGATGAGTCCTTATCTCTCGACATGGTACGGGGTGCGTATGTCCAGGCGAGCCATGGTGTACAATCGCTGCTTTTCCAGACTGGCAAGTTACAGCTGCGATGGCGTGGGCAGGTATTGCGAATGCTTTCAGAGAGGAAGGAGAAATAGCTTCTGCTTGCCTGTCTGACCGAAGACCCCGGAGACGGCCAAGAATAACCCGGGCCAAGTGTATGGAAGAGCTCTTCTCAAAGTTAAAACATTTGTAGAAAATTAGGAATGTTGGAAACACTGTTTGGCCCCTGTGCCCCCGTAACCCGGAAGAAAAATTGGTATTTGAAACCGACTGACTGATATTATCCGTGCAGTACACAAAAAATGAGAAAATAGAATAGTAAGAAAAGATTTTACAAACGAAAAGAAGAAAACATAACCCTGATATTCTGGGTAGGCTCGTTCCATACCGCCGTCAGTATATGATACCAGATTTTAGCGGCTGTAACGTGTAAAGTGTACAGAAAGAAAAATTCGCTTGTCGTTTTTCACTGATACTGCGGCAGTGTAAGACAGATGGAAATCTTACGCCTGATTATACTGCAATATTGAACTGTTCCTTTGCTTTTAGCAGCTTAAGGGGACCCCTTAAGCAGGTCATTAAAAAAATTATATTTGTCCATTCCACTTATGACATTATCACTAGATGTTAAATTGAACAATGGCTTCTCTTCACAAATCATTCGATAACAGACTGAAATGAAATCTATTTCTCTTTAAGCGTTTAGGAACCGTGAGGCATTAGGATCTGTCTTCTTCTTCCAGGCGTGTGATTCTTGCTGAAATCTGATCGTACGCGACTGTTGTTCCTCTTCTGATTCCGAAGCTTCGGCTTCATCGATATTATGTTCATGAACTCCTGATTTTAGTTGTTCACAATGCTTCATTATTAATATTCATTGTAGTCGGATGACAGCTGCAAAGCTGTTAAGTATAGTTTTAATAAATTTTTTCATAACCCTTTCAGAATAATTTCCATATTACCAAATTTACGTTAAGTCGTTGTTTGTCTGTATAAGGTAATCTGTTTAGTCTACGGAAGTCGGAATGCATATTTTACTGTCAAGAGTAGTACTGTGTCCATGCCGGTATGGATTGAAACTAATATGCTTTTCAGTCCAGAGTGCTGATGTTTGGTTTTACACTGTTACTTCCTAACAGCAGTGCGACAATGCGAGGCATAGAGATAATGCAGAGACCACGATTTTACCGGTTTAGACTGAACCGCAAATGAGTTGCAGTTTATACCGATATGAACTAGTTCAGACCTCTCTGTGCAGTAGCATACATTTGGATGTACATAATGAGTTTACTTAAGGCCGTTACGTTTAAAATTCCGCGTCATTTGTTTGCTTAAGCCAAGGCTTCGTGACTCCTACGAAACCAGATTTCACGGCCTACGAACTGTTGTTCATGCGATAGCATATAAGGAGTACCAGCTCATGAAACATGGTTCGTGATGAGTGTGAGGTGACTAACGGGCAAAATGAT